AACCAATGGGCCCCCATATAGGTGTATGGGGCCCTGGCAATTATTCGATCGTCACGAGGCTAAAAAAACCCACGCCCAGCTATTAAAATAGCTCCCACACCGGTCTTTGAGCGTCCTACACTGACCTCTGAGGGAACTTCAGTGGCAGTCAAGCGCCCACGTTGACCGCTAAGAGCCTACATCAACCTCTGAGACCCCACATCGGGCCTATGAGGGCCCCTAACCGGCCTCAGGGGTCCCAACCGGTGTCTGAGGGTCTCACACCGGTCTCTGGTGGCCTTATTTCTGTCTGTGGTGTCCCAAGACGAACCTTTAGGTGCCAATGAGGGCCCCGCACTGGCTGCTGAAGACCCGATGCCGGCCTCTAAGGGCCTGCATTGGCCTCTGAGGAGGGCCCATCTTGGCCTTTGAGGGCCCTCTGCTGGCCTCTGGGGTCCAACGACGGCTCATGCCGGTCTTTTAGGGCCCCACGCTGACCTCTGAGGGCCCATGTTGGCCTGTAATGACCCACATTAGCCTCTGAGAGCCCAACTCGGTCACTGATTGTCTCAAACTACTGGCCTTTGTAGTTTGCAGGCCCTGTACTGGTCTCTGAGGGCCCTAAACTGGCCTCTACGTGAAAACATACATGGGTGGTTTTCTGAAGATCAGAGGGCTCACGCAGTCTCCGGCACAGCCTTACGTTGGTCCTGATCGAGATTACTTTACGTCCTGATGGTCCCGCGCAGATTCCCTCATATTTCGACGTCGGGACACCATGAGCCGGTGTGGGTCCTGGGGCTGGCAGAGACTGATGAAGTCCTTATGGCTCAGGGCCAGTCTTTTTAGCAGTAAGACTACATAGGCAAGTTGAGTGAGCCCCAATAGAGCCGTTGCGAAGCCCCGCAGGAGTCGCGCGCGGCCCTCAGATGCCAATTTTGAAAGCTCGGAACCTGTGGGGGGTCTCTAGAGGTCGGTGTACCTATTCTCTCCCGCCGCCACACAACTAGGTATGTTACCTATATGGGTAAATGTCATAGTCTGAAAATGCTCTCTGGGTTTCACATGCTTGTTCAAAGCAAGAGGTATCTGTACTTTTCCGAATTGTTTTATAGTGGTAAGGTCATGAATCCGCGTGCCTGACCTTCCAGTATACCTATCCTACACCGATCCGTCGTCATGGTGCAGTGGGCCGACCGGTGGAAGCACCGTGGGACGGGAAATGGAACTGGTGATTTTGCCTTAAATTGAGCCTAAAGATTTCACGCAAGAATCAGATGGATGAGGCATAAGTAATGCCAACTGCGCGGCACCTCGTGGACGTAAAAAATTAGTCGATCACCCCCCCCCCCTCCCGGTGACGGATAAATGTTATGTCCCGCGAGTATGACTTTGGCCCCCCCCTTTTGCTAGCCTCTGCGACCGCCAGTGCACATTCTTACACTATTTGACATCCTGAATCCAGATATGATGCTTTCATGTGGCGCAAATACAAGAAAAATGAATAATCAAACCCGTGCGTATTCGTATCAACGGCGCCACAATTGTAGATCAGACCTTTTCTGAACAAATGCCACCACAATTTTAATTGATAAGGGATTAAAATGGCATGAGCATCAACATCTTGATTTTTTCTAAAAGATAGCGATAACTGATAACTAATAACTTACCATTCATTTTGAAATCACGGCGGTAGGTACACCAACACATGGCACTGAAAACAGCAAAAGACGGAATGGCGGAATGTCGTATGGAGCCCTAAAACGCAGCTCGAATTGAGCCCGAAAAGGAAGACGAACTGATGCCGCTTTCGGGGCTAATGTACTTTGAGCCCGAAAAGGGCGCCTAACTGATCCCGATTTTAAAATCATACAGATTTGAGCCCTGTTTTGGCACTCATATGAGCCCTTATTCAAAAATGTTCTCAAAGTGTTTTCTGAGTGTAGTTCATCGTAAATGCTGTGCAGAAAGTTTTAATCAATATTTGAAATAGCACCGCCGTTTATTACAGTTTTTAAGGGGTAATACTTTTACCATATTTTGTTATGGAGGAGGCTTAATTCATCTTACAAAAAAGGCGTTATCTGTAGTGAATAACATCATAGGCGGTCCCAGGGGGGGGGGGGGCCACGGGGGCCATGGCCCCCCCTTTGGTGCTGAAAGGTGGGGCCATACTATCTTTTGGCCCCACCTTTTCAGCTCGAACAAAAGTTCTACAAAAACTTTTTGTACGTTTCATTTTCTTTTCTCAAAAAGAAAATGAAAAAAATATTTTCTTTTTTTCATTTTCTCAAAGGTCTTTCTTGCACCAGCAAAGGAAGTAAATTTCACTCATGAGTGGGCTCAGTTTCACATTCTGTCAATTTGGCGGTCAGTGTCGCTGGCACCGGTTCACAAGTATGGCCGGATGTGAGATACCTATAGGTACTCTAACTTATGTGGAATATCGGGGTGGGTTTACTTGAGGCTCTCATAAGCACAGCATTGGCTGGCATGAGATCCTCCTGCCAAATGAGCGTGGTTCTACGACACTAAAGTATGACCTCATGGGTTGGTGCTGTGCGGAGGGGGAGGCATCAGGGCCATCCCCAAAGGCAAATAAGGGGGTATCATATCATTTCCCCCCTCCCAAACAACCGTTGGGCCCCCATGAGCGTATGGGGCCCTGGCCGTTATCCGATTGTGACGAGGCTCAAGAAACCCACGCCCAGCTGTTACCTAATAGGTCCCACACCGGTCTTTGAGCGTCCTACACTGAACTCTGAGGGCCCTTCAGTGGCGGTCAAGCGCCCACATTGACCGCTAAGAGCCCAGATCGACCTCTGATGGCCCTCGGCCACTGGCCTCTCAGGGCCCCTAAACCGGTCTCAGGGGCCCAACCGGCGTCTGAGGGCCTCACACCGGTCTCTGGTGGCCTTATTTCTGTATCTGGGGTCCCAAAACTAACCTTTAGGCGCCTATGAGGGCCCGCACTGGGTGTTGAAGACCCGATGCCGGCCTCTAAGGGCCCGTACCGGCCTCTGATGGCCCATCTTGGCCTTTGAGGGCCCTTTACTGGCCTCTGGGTCCAACGCCGGCCCATGCCGGTCTTTTAGGAGCATACGCTGACCTCTGAGGGCCCCATGTCGGCCTTAAGGACCCACATTAGCCTCTGAGGGCCCAGCTCGGTCTCTGATGGTCTCAACCTACTGGCCTTTGCAGGCCCTGTACTAGTCTCTGAGGGCCTTAAACTGGCCTCTAAGTGAAAACATACAGGGGTGGACTTTTGAAGTTCTGAGGACTCACGCAAACTCCTGCAGAGCCTAACGTGTCCCGATGGTTCCGCGCAGATTCCCTCATATTTCGGCGCCGGGGCCCCATGAGCCGGTGTGGGTCCTTGGGGCTTGGCTGACAGAGACCGATGAAGTCTCAGGGACCAGGGACAGTCTTTTTGGCAGTTGAGGATTAGGCAGGTTGAGTGAGCCCCAATAGAGCCGTTGCAAAGCCCCGCATGAGTCTGCGGGCGGCCCTCAGATGCCAAATTTGAAAGCCAGGAACCTGTGGGGGGTCTCTAGAGGTCGGTGTACCTACTCTCTCCCGCAGCCACATACCTAACTATGTTATGGGTAAATGCCATAGTCTAAAAATGCTCTCTTGGTTTTATATGCTGCACCGATCTGTGTGCGGCGGCCCGACCGGTGAACAGACCGTGGGACGGTAAATGGAAGTGGTTATTTTGCTTAAACTAAGTTCAAAAATTGTACGCAAGAATGAGATGGATGTAGCATAAGAAATGCCAACTGCGCGGCACTTTGTGGCGTCGACTTTGCTACACAACGTAAAAACTTAGCCGATCACCCTCCCCCCCCCCCCGGTTGACGGATAAATGTTATGTTCCGCGGGTTTGACTTTGGCCCCCCCTTTAGCTAACGGCTGCGACCGCCAGTGTCCCGCGCCTATGAAAGTCAAGCTGTACAGAGGCGGATCCAGCTCAGAGTTTTTTTGGGGGGGCAAACCATAACAATTTATCGATTCTTTCCATGCATCGTCCATAGGCGTAATGTTAAAATCATGCCGTTTGGCGGGGGGCAAATGCCCATTTTGCCCCCCCCCCTGGATCCGCCACTGAAGCTGTATGCTATGCAGCGATAAAGAGGCAATTTGTTTCAATCGGCATTGGAGTTCAATAGCTAGCTGCTACACCATGGATTGCCGATGGGTTCTTACTTCTTTCGTCCATGGCTACAAAATTCTCACCCTACAAGAAAGCTGTACATTTTGCAGTAAAATAGCCAACACATGAAATAGAAAGGCAGACAATTGTAGCGCAGTTCCTTGTATCTCGTCTCGTCGAAATGTATGTATCTCGTCGAAATACATTTTCAAGGGTTCACATGGCGATGTTTGCTGCGTCCTTGGCTACTTCTCTCCTAGCGACTTTTCACATACTCTGGTGATAGCTACTAGAAATCCCTTCAGTAATTTTGCTTTGGATACTTTCCTTATGTTCTCACTTCTCATTTTTTCATGCAACTATTCGTGCATTCGTTTCGTGTCCACTAAATCGTTCCAAAATTAATAATGGGTTATGCTCTTCACACTTTTGTACTGCATTGTTCACTGTTCAGGTATCAAAATTGTAACTAAAATATGTAGAATTGTAGAAACTTGAAACCCAGATGTCCATTTAAAAGCAAATCCTTTGATTTATTTTATGATGCAAAAGCTTTGTTTTTATTAGTCCAAACTCCAGTCAGGTTTGATTATATAGGTTGGTGCCTAAATTATTTTGCAGTGCGCCTGTGGTCTTGAACAAAGTCGTCTGGAATATGCGAGGCAAAATATAACTTGCTCAAGTTTATTAATTTTTGGAGGATGCAAAACACATTGCTCTATGTCTATGTCTAGTTTGCAATGAAAGCTTTATTCTGCTAGCCAGTGTTCATGGTTTTGCCTGCGCAAAGTCCCTAGAAGTCTCATCCTAAAGTCGCAATGGGCGCAAAAGCAACAATTTTTGTTGTGCAGTGGTGTCCGCCCTTTACAAGTTTCTAGGCGCCAGCGTTATTGGTGGTGGCGGAAGTGGAAGTCGTGCTGTGGGGATGTGGGGATGAGCAAGGTCGTTGTCCTATAAATACAGCTTTTTTTGTCATGCTCGATTAGGGGGCATAACGTAGGACTCATTGGAGCACCAGCAGCTGTCAGAAGAACTTCCAACTTCGGCGTTGACACTGATCTTGACATCCAGAAGAAACAAGGACGATTGTGAAACATTTCAATTTCGAAAGTGAACCATTGGTGTTCTGACTGGCCACACTAGCAGTGGTTGTGATTTTTGGTGCATTTCTGTGATATGGATACTACTGAAGCCATATAATCGTTTTCAAGTACTGTGATTGGCACCTGCTTGTCATGTATTCTCTCAGGAAGTGGTTCTACAGACCCAAGGTAGGTGACTATTTGATTTGATTTACCATTAAAACAATGTTTATACTCTTAAAAACCATGTAAATACTGCTTACAATTTGTTAGCACATTGTTGGCGATTTTGGTTCCTAGGTTGTACACTGTTCTTTTTATCAGCACGTTATCTGCCTGCTGGTGTTCCCTGGCCCTTTACATGTGAAATTCATGTAGGTTTGAAATTCACCAGGGTGGTAGCTCAAGTGGCATGGCATGCTAACAGAAATGGCTACGGAACAGCACTTTGGTCACCCTCTGCCGTGCAAAGGCAAAGACTACTATGTACAGACAGACTCTGACTCCACATGGTAGTTTTTTTTGCCTTTGCACAGGAACACTGTGTTTGTCAATAATTGTTTTGGGGTCTGATTCTAATTGGTTACAAATATTTGCCATTTAAGGTATCATTTTCTTTGTGTGTGACACCATTTTTATACTTTTGCAAGTCAATTTCAGACTTATTATTTAAAGTGACTATTGTAAAGAATTTCCGGTTGGAGTTGATAGTAAGCATTTTCTTGACCAAGATGATACGCCCATCCATATGCAATAATCACCTATGTACGGCCCTCCAGGTATTAAGTGGTTGACTGCCAACATCACAATAATCGATCTGCATTGATGAATACGTCTAATGGCTGTTGAAAACCACTGCTGAAATGTGTGCATGAGCCCTCTTCCCATTTCTATTGAGTCATTTTACAGGAGTGTCTCTGTCATTTAAAGTTATTACACCAAAAGCACATAGGCTAACCAACCACCCTTTTGGGTATATGTCAAGTTTAGGTCCTAACTACAATTGTGACGCTGTTGATACGAATATGAAACAGCAAAAATTTTAGGTTTTAGGTTAGGTTAGGTTGTAGGTTTGTAGGTTTTAGGTTGTAGGTAGGTAGGTTTGTAGGTTAGGTTAGGTTAGGGTAGGTTTGTAGGTTGTTAGGTTGGTAGGTTATAGGTAAGTAGGTAAGGTTAGGTCAGGTTTGATTATGTTTTTTCTTTTATTTGCGAGACAAATGAGTATCATTTTTGGATTCAGGATGTCAAATAATATAAGAATATGAAAAATTTATCAATGAAATCTTCTTAGGACTTAAACTTGACATTTACCCTCTTTTGCTGGAGGGTCATACATCCAGTCTGTCCCATTTTTGCAATAGGGGGATGTCTTTTACCTGAGATGACAGGGGGTCAAAGCTCCATTGAAGTCACTTGTGGCCACACTATTTTTGTAGGGCAGGAATAGCCTGATGGTATGACAGTGGAAACCGGTAGTGTACTGCGGGCCAAATGAAATAGGTAACTGAACACTGTATCAGGCTGCATGTTCAGTGAGCACATCAGTTATTCTGCTACACATTATGTTATTCATTGAGATGTATAATCTTAGCAGTCAAGGTCCTCCCACAATCAATCACAATCAACACAGCATTTCATGTTTTTGGCCATTGGAAGTTTGTCTACCAAACTATGATGATATTTGTTTAAATGAAGCTTTTCTATCTACCTACCTTCTTATTGCTATCCCCCCTGACAACCAAATGTTTGCTGCCTTTGTCACAGAAATACTGCTAAATATTTTTGTTCAAGGGTAGACTACTAAAATATTATCAATTAAAGCATAAATTTCACTTGCTTACATTAAAGAATCACTTTTCTCACATTTATGTACTGTGTTACCTATTATACAATGTACATACTAACATAGCTGTCAAAAATTAGAATAATCATCAAATGAATTAAAATGATTTCTGAATTCAGGTGAAGTGGCTATCAGGCTGCTGTAAGTAAGGTGAAGCTGTAGGAGGGATTATATAATTATATTTTAAGCCCTTGATGACAGGTAGTAATGCCTGTCATTCAGTGTCCATGATACCACTGACAATATTGATTAAAAATGATGCTGAGTTTGGTCTCTGTTGATATTACTCATTTAGCATTGATGTAAAAACACAAGCTATCTCATACCTCATTTGCCCCTTTTACCTCGAGTGTTATTTGCCATTCTATGAAATTGTGACATAGTGACACCAAATAATCTAGATCTTCAATGCAGGTATTCTGATTGACCTGGCCATACATTTTTCTTGTTGGTTTCGTCCATGTTTTATCATGTGCATGTAATGACGGCTCTCATCTCTTGTGTTGCAGAGGACGGACACATCGCTGTTCGCGCAGTTCTTTTTTGCCGACGATGAGCTGAACAAGGTGACGCTGGAGCTGGACAGCTTCGACGGCCGGAAGGACCCCGAGCGGTGCACCCTGCTCGTGAACCAGCTGCGGGCCTGCCAGGACAAGGTGGGTGACGACACGGCTGCCCAGCGGCAGTCGGGCTGACTGAACAGTTCTGGCCAGAGTCGAGTCGGAGTTAATATCAAGTCGGAGACGGGGTCGGGCGGTCTCGACAGTTCTGGCCGAAGTCGGAAACGGAGTTAGCATTGCTTAAACTCGTGCACTTAGCCTGCATGTCGGAAGATTTTACGTTCGTTTTGGACCGGTCATGTATGATAAACACTGACTCCGATGTTGAGTTATCAGAGGAGACGGTCCGGTACTACCTAGCTCAGAGACGGAGATCCTCTGGGGATCGTGGGGTGCGGACTCCGTAGGCACACTGAGAACTAAAATCTTGTGAGCCCTCTCAGTCCGGTGCGGTGTGATGTACTCTCTCAGACTAGCTCGGGATCCCCAGAGGCCGATGAGATACCTCTGAGGCTGGCTGTTGGCCTTCTCATACGGAAAGAAGGCCCTCCGAGATCCTTGAGGGACTTTTAAGCTGGTGTAGACCCGGACCCCCGAAAATGAGTGGCCTTTGTGGGCTGGACGCCCACAGATGAAGTGATCCCCAGCCCGAGTCGGATATTGTCGCTGACGCCAGAGCTCAGGCTTCCTGTCGAGGAGTTGGGGCTGCATAGAACTGCAGAGCTGTATAAATGTTTTCTTTTGAATGTGCCAAGCAACGTTCAGGTAACATTCAGCAGAAAAGTATCTCAGACATAACTAACTGTACCGTGATACTGTCTCAATGCCTCAATAAGGTATGTCCTGAATTGTGTAACTGAAGGTAGAGTCGGAGTCTGGGTCGATTTGCAAAAGCCAGCGTCAGAGTCACTCTTCAAAAATCCATCGACCCTTCAGCCCTGGCGATGAGTGACAAAAAGGGTAACGTGGTGAAAATGTAACTGGATGTGACGCTTACCGATGAAGCGACGAGCTGGCAGAAATGTCAAATCATATAACGTGAGACAAAGTGGGTAACATGGACAGGGCTAGTTACGCGTGGCAGTCATAAATGTAACAATTTGAGACATGTCAGTGTCGCTGTGGGTGCTCCAATTGCTCTTCTCGGCAAAATGCTGGTTATTCCAGAACTTTGCATTGTATTGTCCATGATCATTAGGGTTAGAATATGTCCGCGATGGATTGGAAACTGTATCGATATCCGTCATTCAGCTCAGTGGATGGTTGCTGGTTAGTTGAACCTAAGTTCCCTTTAGCTGGACTGAACTCGGAGCGCTGACCTTCCGGTAGAACGGGGAACACCGCACGGCCGCAGTCTGAACTCTACCCGGGTCGTCGCAGAGTTACGCTACTTTGGGCTCCCAATGGAAGTTTGCATGTTTGAGTACCTAATTGGCTCGCTGCGGCTTTATGTTCATTGCTCACGTCTATGTGCTGGAGGGATACCAGCGCACAGTGGGCCGATATGCCATTTTAGCGCGACAGGGCCTGAATCTTCGAACGGAACCCTTGGTTTTTCGCGAGTAATTCGCGTAAAAAGCGGCCGATCGCAACAAAACTTTCAGTACCCTCGCGATAACTACTTTTACAGCTAACCTGAAAATTTCATGACCCTGACCTGAATGATCTTTGACCTGTGACCTTCTTTCGAGACCATGTTTGGCCGGAGTCGCGATTCAGCGTATGTCGGCTCGCATTAGCCGCGGGTTTGCAGTCTTTTCTTGGTTTAACCCGGCGGCCGCTGGGCCTCCGCGCCACCCGCCGGCCGCTGGGGGGGGGGGGGCATAAAGTTGCCCCCCCCCCCTTTACTTCTGCGACGATATCGTCGCAACGCGAAGAGATAGAGAAGCGAAACTTTGCACACATCTTCCTGAATACCTAGCCGAGGTTGTGTCCAAATTTGTTGTGGATCCCATTTGAAATGACGTCACAGTGACGTCATAAGTGAAATTATAGATTTGCGACTCTCATATTCCTCACGATACATCATATATATTGGACCGAATATAAAGGGCCGATTATTGGTCAGAAACTAGATGGAAGTGTAGTAAGATGTTTTAGGATGACAGCAGGTGCTGTCTAGTTCATTTACAGTCGAGTTTCATGCTCAGCGTCATCAGAAACGGTGCATATCGGAAAACGACAAAACTTTATGACGTCACTGTGACGTCATCTTAGGTGCTACAACCACCAAACTTTCCTCAAACATTGCCTAGGTATTCATTTGAAGCTATGCCAAGTTTCACGTTCGTAGCTCATCAGGTTTCGGAGATTTTTCACAAAACGTAAAGGGGGGGGGGGCAACTTTATGCCCCCCCCCCCCCAGCGGCTCGTGGGTTAACCCTCGCCGGACCTATTGGTTTTCTACATACGCGCCGGCCGAGGGGGGGGGGCGGGTACGACCCCCCCCTCGCCGTTTCGCCCCTGGTGGAGCTAGCGCGTCGCGGAAAAAACGAGCGTGTGCGCCGTTACGAGACGCAGAGATTGGTACCCGATTTTAAGGTCCTAGGTCAACCGGTGACCTCTGAGGTCAGGTCAAGTGACCCAAGGTACGGTTCAGTTTTTGGTGAATAACTTCGCAAAAAACGGCCGCAGAGCGCCGATTTTGGCAACATCGTGTTCGTCTCGCTCAGGCGCGTCGAATGATGTACTTTTTGTCCGGGTCAGGTCAACTTGGGGTGTTGACCTCAGGTCAAGGTCAGGTCAGCACCCCCAGGTCACGGAGTTGGTCGAAAGAGGTCATGTCGGATATCATTCGATTCGGCAGGTCTTCCTGAGTCCATTCGTGGCTTTCCCGACTCGCTAGCTCAATTTGATCAAGAGTTATTGACGAAAAACTAATATGACCTTGATGACGTCATAAATGACGTCACGCAAGGTCAACATTGCAAAAGTGACGCATCTAACCTTGCAAGGAGTGCATCAAATCACGATTCTGTGTGCTTGAGATAGTTGGAGATCGTTCCCGGCGCCAGAATAGCAGTTTTCATTTTTCCCCATTGACTTATAATGGTGAGGTCACGAAAATGACCTGACCTCATATGACCTTTAGGAAAAATCCGAGATATACAAGTTGTGGGACTCATAATGGATACTAGATCCTGCAAGTTTCATTTCCCTGTGACATCTCCTCTGGCAGTGAGGGCGTTGCGAAGTTGCGACATCTGAAGACCGTGCAGAGGTTCACTTATGACGTCATAGGTCAGTGACCTGACCTGACCCAAAAATGCGGTTGGTGTCAAAAGATGCGGCTTGGATCAAAGGTCAGGTATGCCAAGTTTCAGCTCTCTATCGCCAGCGTGTTCGGAGCTATCGCGAAAAAACCCTATGGGGGGGCGGCACCCGCCCCCCCCCTCGGCCGGCGAGGGTTAAAGCGTTCAAACATGGGATATTATGTTGCTCCCATGCATTAGGATGGGTGTCAAGGTCACCAGAAGGTCAGGTAAGGTCACTGACCTTTGATGATCTTGGTTCACTTTTTCGAGTTTTACATGTTTCTAGGCTAGTTTTTGGAGCTGACTTCGAATCTAGCAACCATTTGAACATTTACTATGTAGCTTTGGTGCCTTCGTAACATGTTACAAAGTTGTCAGAGGCGGTTGCCACCTACCTACTGCAAATACCCGGCAAAACCCTTACTGGTTGACCTGACCTGACCTGACCCGACCTGGCCTAAATGTATGAAGACATCATCTATGATCGTAAATAACATTATATTCGTGATCAGCACCCAAAAAAACCATAGCAGCCACCCTTTACGACGTTCTAGCAGATCCCGATTTTCCCGACTTTTGGGTCATTGACCTGACCTGGAAGGTCAACCGATGACCTAGGACCTTACAATTGGGTATCATCAGCTTCCTCTTGTCACGGGCAACACGCTCGTCTTTTCCGTGAAGCTCTAGCTCGATCAGGGGCGAAACGGCGGGGGGGGGGTCCAACGGACCCCTTCTATACGTTCGCGGCTGGAAAAACACCACTAGGGGCGAGGGTTAAGCCAAATCTGAGGGCTTTTTCAGAAAGACCGCTAAAAGAGCAATTGAATGCACTTTTCCGTGACGATGTAGCTCTATTGGTCCCCGAGGTAAGGGCCGGTTTTCAAGAAATGTTGATATATGCAACATTTTACCTTTGATGACCTCTGGTGACGTGACCTTTGACCTGACCTAGAAATGACTAACTACCTCATCTGGGATTTCGGGCGCTCTTTCGAATGCCATTTACTACGTGTCGCTATGTGGCCCAAGAGCCGAGTTAGAAGGGTAGTGTTCAATCAACACCTCCCGGCCCGGCGCGTTTGACGCCGAGCACCGGTCCGGCGCGGGTTGATGTTTGGCTGCTACATCCAAAGTCGCAAAAAGTCGCAAAAAATGACTGTTGGATCTTGTAGTGCAATGAATCATTGACATGTAGCGAGATTTTCGAAGCGGTACTCTGCGGTACTTTTTTTAAAAGTCTATTTGTGTGTGACATCAATTATGTGAAATTGTATTTTCGTCTTTAAATCTTTGCGGTGCCAATACATCATAACCAAGTAAGAGTTCGCCATTTTCATGTGGTTATGTGTGTTCTGGAGACCCGGAGCTATCGTTTGATGTATATAAATGTGGAATTCCTCCTTAAATTGTGATTGTTTTCGTGGATCAAAGATACGTTGTTGAAGAGTGCGGGGGACGAGTTCGGTCCAAACGATTCCGAGGTTCGTGTTTAAGCTGAGTTTTCGCCATGAAATAGCAATTGTGTTGGAAAACAAAGACCACAGCAATGTAGTATGATCATTTTTGAACAAATTGGTATAGGTTTCATTGCACATCCACAAAGTTCGATTTTTTTACCCATGTCGTGCTAGACCTGGCGATCGGCCCAGTGTGCAGCGGGTGGTACAAAAACCATCAACACACCACGATCGGTGTTCTGTTATCTGTTCCTGATTGCTCATCGATAATTGGCTTGTATTCATTCCTGACACAACTGACAAGGATTCATAGTGAGCCCCACATATGCAGTTTAGTCTGGCTGATGTTTCCTCAAACGAGCAGATAATGCACCCAAAGAGTTGATCTCCCGATATCGAATTTGATTCGGCGCTGGTTATCCGCGTGAAATTCGCAGATGAGCTTTGTTGTGGGTTGAAGTGCGTTTTGATGAACTTTTTGTACTTGAATGTGCCATCTACCCCGTGTCTGCTCAATGCTCATAGGTATACTGATAGGCAACCTTTTGCCAGAATTCGATTGATTTCCAAATGCACAAATAAGATACCCCCCCCCCCCCCTGGAAGGAAGGGAGTTATGCGGGCACGTTGAATCCCTGGTTTCTGATATATCTCGTTACCCGAAGTTTCCCGAGAGGACGGCGGAAGTCGGCTCCTCTACAGCATGCTCTGCTTATCGTTGTCCGGCTCTCGTTCATGTGTCCAAGTCCAACTCCAAACATTTCAGCAAACTTAATTTATCCATATCATGTGTTTTCGTCTTCTGAGATATTGAGCTGAATGTGATACTTGATTTGTCATGCTTTCTTTGCTATTTGAAGCTATGACGGAATTTACTCTGATTCAGCTATTGTTATGGGCGCAAAATGACCTTGTAGTCGGCGCGCCCTTAAGCCCCAATAAACAAACGATTCAGCTATTGTTCGTACTTTTGGGAAGGGATAAGCTATCAGAGTGTATGTCAGGCCTGAGGCCAATGTCAGGCACACATGTGACGATGCACATTTAGATAGCTGTTTAAACGGCCATCACGGCCTAATGTTTATGATGAGACACGAGTCTTTAGTTCGAGCTACAAACACGCTGACCGGACTAAGTGATTTTTAATGACGCCGGATCAGCAGCTTCTGTCTCTCTCGAGCTGGGGTTTGTGGCGGCCGCCGACCCGGTCTCCCGTGCAGCTCCCCCTCCCGTGGCCCTCCGGCCGACGGCCATTGACGCTGCACTATTACCACCGTCCATTAGCCGACGATCTGTCGCCCGTGTACCGCCCTGCGGCGCGCCGGCCCCGACCCCAGCGGGCGCCTGTCCGCCCTCCGTCCGCCCCGCCCCATACTCCATCAGTAGGTACACACTGCGCAAGCACTGGGGTAGATCCCAACGTCCTTGGTGTGTTCATTTGTTCAAGCTCCCACAGCAGCTCCGCGGTCGAGGAACGGACATGTCCTCAATCGAACTTCCTCTCTATCCCGTGATTCCTCCTCTCTGCCCCTGTTGTGGTCCCGTGCGGCACGGCTGGCCGGAGGGGCCGCGGACTGTCTGTGTATCACGTCTGACGTGGACAGTGGACAGGGAGCGGCCGTCTGCCGCCGCCGGCTGTCTGAGTGACGTCACTCAGACCGAGCGGGGCCCGCATGGTGACCGTGACTCTGCTGAATAGCCGTGAGGGTGATGCTTTGTTTTACACGGCGTAGGAGAGGCTGGGTGTTGTCCGATCAAAAGATTCTGCGGGATTGGTGATTGTAGCTTTGCTTTATATCGGGTAGAGGTGAGGTGCTTTGACCTGGGATGGTATATTGGAGGTTATGAGCAGAGGAGAGGTGGGGGGGGGGGGGGGGGGACTGCCGCGTCTGCGACGTTCGGTACTGGTTCCGCGACTGCAGTTGCGGCCTCACAAGGTCGCACGAGCCACGAGCGAGCAAGAGCCCCGCGGCGAGAGATAGCTGTCACTCTCACTTTTTCAATCTTTGCTTTTTCCTGTCATCTCTCCTTTCCTCCGTCCCCCGCTCTGTCTCCCTTTTACTTCTTTCCTCTCACTTTTCTCTTTTTATCTTCAACCTTTCTTCTTTCTTTCTTTCTCTATGACCTCACCTTCATTCACTGTCCACTATCCCCACCTCTGCCGTCCACACATCAGCCCCTCCCTACGGCAGCGGTCACCTCCAGGAGACCGCCCCAGCGCCGGCAGCGCTGGAGGTCACTCCGCGGCCGCCCTTCCCGCTCCGGCGCGGAGGTCACCTGACCACCGCCGGCCCAGGTGAAGGCTCCCACGTCAGCCGGCCGGGCCCCGCCCTCGGTTAGGGTCGGAGGTCGCTGTTGAACCCAGTTCCCGCGGCGGTCAGACCTTGTTCGACTGCTGCCGGTTCGCTGCCGGTCGGTGAGCCGACCCGAGCAGAGCAGCGGCTCTGACGTGACCATGATGTCAGAGGAGAGAGAGGGAGGGAGTATGTGTCATGATCGCGGGGGGTGCCGGCTGTCAATCACGCTTCCGAGGAGTGTTGACCGGCGCTCACGTGAGGGAGGGGAGGGGGTCATGCTGCCTCAGCTGGCACTGTTTGTTGTAGTATTGACAGACGTCTGTGTCATATGAGTGTCTTTGTTTGGCTGTATTGAACTCCGTCAGCAGGTGTTGGCTGTCGTTTTTTGTGCTCTATCTTTTTCCTCCGATAGCCGTTTTTTATGCTGAAGATAGTTACCACACATGCTCCACCGCCACAGAACAGAGTACCGCATTGGGTCGCGTCAAATGTGGTGTCACTGTCCTATTTATGATGCGCAGGCTCCCGCACTGAGGAATTTGTGACTATGTCAAAACATGGCACATGGACTCCTGAGATTTGCGCAGTAGCTGGAATCTTGTTGTTTTGTTTTTATAGCAAAATTGCGGGTGCGTCTGAGGCAGTGGTAGATAACTATTTTTTTTTTTGTGGTGGAGAGATAGAGCATCGCATTTGATTCTTAGAAATAATAGGAAATTAATCAGCGAAATAATGACGCTTTGGAATTTGCACTCGTGTTTCATGTAGCTGCAGCCCGCGTAGATTGATGTATTCTAATCGAAATTATTGCAAAGTCCTTAACCGTTCATGCTTTTCGTACCTGGAGACTAAAGTCATATGTTTTCGGTAGTAATACCCAGACGTATATCTCCAAGCCCGTGTATGCCGCTGCGTATATTGGCCACCGCTGAAGCATCTTCTCCGCCCCTCTGACCCTCAGGTTCTGAGTATTTGCAACCACATGCTGGACGAAGTGGTGGGGGAGGACCGCGCGCCGCGCGACTTCCGCGCCAAATTTCCCGACGATGTGCTGCAGGAGAACCTGGCCGGCCAGCTCTGGTTCGGCGCGGAGGTAAGTTCGGCGAGCTGTATGTTATTTGAATAGTGACGAGTGGAGAATGCCTGGAGGGATATAACAGTCGTTGAATATGGCAGAGATAGAGTGCGAGGACACTATTGATGACGTTGGATGGAGCTGTGAATATGTGAGCACCGAGGACGCCACTGATAACGTCTGAAAAGGCTGTGGGAACGTCATTGATGACGCGCCAGAGATATGAGTGATGACGTCTGGCTGGTGTGTGAGACGCCATCGATGACGTCTTGACTGGTGTGTGAGGAGGCCGGCGATGACGCTGGATGCGGTATGTCACGCCATTGATGACGTCTGAACGCGGTGTGAAGACGCCACTGACGTTTATTCCGTGTGGGAAGTCCCCGTGGTCCCTACTTCCCGAACTCATTCCTTATCGTTGAAACGTAGACGCGGCGCGGTGCGCTTCCAGTTGTCTCTTGGAAGTACGAAAGATTTTCCTGAACTCTAAGCTTGTAGCTATTTGAATGTAGGGTTCTGTTGAGCAAATAATATTCAGTCTGCCTAGCGGGGAGTGGATGGAATACTCCACTCTCAGCTGTGTAGAGGGGACGTCCTTCTCTACCGTACCACTCTTCATGCAAAAACATATCTTCGTGACTACTGTAAAACGGAAAACCCAGCGGCACCGTATCTGCCTGGTAGAGCCGCGCCGACCCGCAGCGCGGTCGCTCGGCTCTCAGGGCCGTCTATGTCAGTGTGCCGGCCGAGGTCGGACAAGGCCGTGCCGCTACCGCCCGCCGCTCACCCCTGCACGCCACTGATTGCACCGGTCCCGCCGGGCAGAGATGGTATCGGGCAGGGAGTGACGCGCGGACGGACGGAATTCGCCGTACTAGAGCCGCCAGCGCGCCGGGGAAGTGCGAGGTCGTGTTTACCGTGTGATCCTCACTTTTTATACACTTATCGGCCTCGTTTGCGTGGATAATTAGTGAGGATTTGATTGGATTTGCTCCGTTTTACCGGCGCAAAGTCCTCCGTTTGTCGAGTAGTTAGGTCGGGAGCGGGACTCACCCCTCCCACCCATCCACGCACGTTGAGCGGCTATGTGGGCTAAGTGGGTGTTCCCGTTATGATTGTCGGCGCGGTGCCGCCGTGCCGCCTACGACCCGGGTGCACGGGTGCGGGGAGGGCAGGCACATCCTGTCACGGCTGGTCGACTGTGTGTTGGTGCATCCGACGGCGGCCGTGCCGCTCCGGTGCCCGCGCCGCCTGCCGTGACCCCCCCCCCCCCTCCCGGAGCAGGTCGGAGCCTCCGCTGTAAGCCACAGGGACCTCAGCGGTGACGAGGATTGTTTGGTGGCCTGCTGTACACTCGGGGGCAGATTGATGTTCCACCACTCCCCACCCATCGGGCTCCCATGGCTCAGCACTGGCTGCTGCCAGTGTTGCCTGCCCTCAGCACTGATCAGCACTGCCTGCCAGTGCCAGTGCTGCCAGTGCTGCCACTGGCAGCAGCCAGTGCTGAGCCATGGGAGCCCGATAGATAGGGAGTGGTGGAACATCACTCTGCCCCCGAGTGTACCAATCTGTCGGTTTAGGACCGAGCGGCGGCGGCTGTGGGGGGGGGGGGGGGGGCTGGAATTCCAGCGCTGGCGTGTTTATCCATTAGGTCTGTGCTGTCGCCAGTGTGTGGCTCGGTTACGGGAGAGTTTGGTCGGACGGGGCCGCTGCCGGGATCCCGGACTCGCCAGATCCAACCGGAGCAGCGCGGCTGCTCCAACCCCTCTGTCGCGGTTGTGCAATGTGCAATCTTCCAGTACCGGAGGGAATGCAGACGGCTCTCGAGTACTGGCTACCTGGGAAAGTGCGGGCTGTGTCCGATAGTTAGGCTGTTTGTAGGAGTTGTGAGCGCTGGTTTGGCTGTTTGCGGGAACAGAATATGACTGATGTTTGTATCATCGCCATGTGTTTGTGTCTGTGTTATTGTTACTACCGGCGGTAGCACAGTTGGGTGTGCATCTGTGTCGAGGCTACACACACCCAACATCCGTCCGTGTGTGACGTGCTATCGACCGACTGTAGTGCCCGACGTCTGTCCCCTTGTACGATGTCCTGATCCGTATTCTACGGTGCCCGACGTTCATCCACCGTCTTTCCGTCCGTGTTTAACATTCCCCTTTTCCTGCTTATCGTACAGTGTCCTGCGTCTGTCCGGCCGTCACATCCTCGGCTCACTCCGGACAGCCCGGTGTCAATCCGTCCATCTGAGTCTAACATCCCCCGTTCCTCTGCCGACAGTGTCTGGCCGCCGGCTCTTGCATCATGAACCGGGAGATGGAGAGCGCCGGCATGCGTCCGCTGGCCAAGGCTGTCACCAAGAGCCTGGAGAACGTCCGAGCGCTGCTGCGTGAACAGGTCGGCAAACAGGGCCCGTCCTGCCGCCCCCGCCCCGCCCCCGCCCCCGCCCCCGCCCGGCGCTCCGTGCGCGTCTGAGAATGACGCAACATCACTCAGAGACGTACGGGGGGAACTGGTTTGGTGGCATTCGTGATTGGCGGGCTCGGGTTCGAGAAACCTGTCATCAGAGTTGTTAGAGCAGATGCCAGAGCCGCGGTGAACTGCGGTTAGCGACCTGTTATAACTGATATCAGACTATTCCCGTGTCTTTTCGTCATGTCTGCAACTGTATCAGTTATGTGACTAACGTGTAGTATGCTGCTATGGTTCCTTTCCGTACTATTTTACGGTCCTTCATTCGTGTCCTGCCACGTTAAGGCTCCCTTCCCTCCCCTATCGCTCTGGTCAACACAGGCGACTCGCCGGCGTCACAGGCACAAGCGGTGCTGACTCTACAAATGTCAAAGGGTGTCGTGCAGTGAAGCCGTAGCTTGCCATTGGGACACATCAGCAGCGGTTTCTGCCGGGCTATTTGCTAACTGGTGATCGTTCAGGCAAATGGGCATTGTTTGAAGCATTAGATATGTGAATGTTGTTTTGCAATAAGTGATTGCGAAATGAGGTTAATAATGAGTGTTGTTGGGCTGTTTAAAAATCACCAGTTAGGCGCGCGACAGAAAAGTTTCAGTCCAACACAATTAAATGGTCTCAATTACACGAGTTGTCTGCCTCAGCTCCTTATTTTTTAATAGTAAAGCTTGGGGATGTATGGTTATTTCAGTGTTATTTACACTACACTCTGTTATGATCAAATGTTGGATGTTAGGCTAACAACTTTCTTAACCACAAGTCATAACTTGTTAACTGAATGCTTCCATAGCACGAGCTCAGTTTTGGACTTATAGACTTGGTGTGCGTGATATTCACGAAGTTCCACTTTGGTTGTGTTAAATTCGAGCAGGATTCATGCAGCGTGGCTAAAATTGAGGACTCGATTAGTCCCTTTCCGCAATTTGGTGAGTAAAGGGGAGCGTCACTCCGAGTCTGACATATTCCGTTATCATTTCCGTCGACCACATGCCCTCCCAATCGCCGTCCCAGAAAGACTGCAGCCCTGCAATCAGTCACGCCACTGTGTGTTGTTTGTCACCCTTCCCCTCCCCGCCCTGGCGGGCTTCCCAATCCATCACCCCCCCCCCCTTCCATCGCTCTACGTTATAATCCCGCCATTGACCATCAGCCGCCGCCTCTAACAGTCGCCCTCTCCCCGACAGTGCCTAAAGTCGCCACAAGAGTTCACCGAGAAACTGTGCGAGTCGCTGAAGATCTTTGACCGGCTATTCGCCGAGTTCGAGCTGCGTTACGTCAGCGCCATGGTAACGGTCAAGTCGGCCAAGGAGTACGCCCTTATACAGAATGTCATAGCGCTCTTCTCCGAGACCGTGCAGAGGTGAGAGATGCTACACGTGTTTTTTTTTTGTTATTGGCCTGTATTTGTGTGTGTACGGATTTGAGCGTCAATTCACCTTGTTCATAAAGTTGCAGTGTGCATTGTGCTATAGCATGCTATAGGTATGAAATTCCACAGGGACCTTGAGCGAATAAAGGATGTGAGCTCAAATTTATTGGCTTAGGAGCTGATCTGTTGTCCATTGCCAAACTTATATAAAGCAGTGGTCGTATTCTTAAAATTATTGTCATGCGATACGAAGCTGGTTTGTTTATTTACCATATTCAAAGACCCGCCGTAAGTCCGTGCTTTCGAGTGTTTGGTTGGCCCAGCCCGCCTTCATAAAAGAATGAGTACCGCCCCAACAGGTCGATACCAGAGGTCGTGCGTAGCAGATACTTCGGTAACCGGGGTACTAGTCGCGTAATGGTAGTCTTGGAACCTGATCATTTATAAATCACACCATGGTAATTGATTGGTGCGTTGGTGGCCGACCCATCGGCTTTTTCTATTCCATCGACTTTTTCTGTGTAGTAGCTGATTACGTGTTGCTCACAATATGGTTACGGAAGTGAATGGTGATTCCGCGCTGTCCTTGTGAACATCAGTTTCTGTAAACATCCACTCTTCCACACGAAAAAAAACGTAAGCTTCTCTTATGGTCATTCTGAAAAAAAATACTGTAGTGCAGATAGTCTGTATTTTTTTCTTTGACCGTGAATTTGTCAGTGGTTTCCCCCAGCCAGCACTATTCCTCCCCACCACGGCCGGTCGCGCCCGTCTGTTCCTACTCGAACCCACCCGTGGCCAGCGCCGGACGCGGGTCCATCGCTACATACCATCTCGCGTGTACTAAGACCGATCGGTTCACTAAAAGGCTAGGAATCCGGGCTACCTATCACGAAAGGCTGGTTCGCCACTGAATGGCGCACGAACGGAGCGGTACGGTTTTTTGGTGGTTTTGTCAGTCGTAAATATAGTGGCCCTCGCATGCTCAGGCATATTGATAATTGCAAGGGACGACTCAGTGCTCAACACAATGTTCTGGACTTCGATCATCGTATCTTTGCCGTTCGCTTTGGGGTCGTGGAGGAACAAGCGTATACCTGTCCCGACCAGGGCTGCGGAGTCGGAGTCGGAGTCGGAGTCGGAGTCGGCCGGAGTCGACAGTTTTGGCCGGAGTCGGAGTCGGAGTCGGAGTCGATATTTTTTCGCCGACTCCGACTCCGGCCCGGAGTCGGAGTCGGTTTTTGTGTCGGAATATATTTTGGGTGAGTTTTACCGTTCAGTGAGGTTTTACTCATTTCCGTCACCTTGCATTCGCCCAACGAAAGTAAAAAGAACCTCTGGTTATGCAATCTGACAATAGAACCGGACTGGGCTCAACCATCGCTGACGCCATGGAGCGCCGACAGCGCACCCTGTTCGAATGTGATGCGTTCTTAGCGGCTTTGTACGTTGATGTCCGCTATCGTCTGCTGCTGGATGAGGTTGACATTCGCCAGGCCGAACGGGCGTTCACAAGCGTGGTACATCGCGAGCGGCAGCTCAGGAGGGGCATGGAGAGGCCGTCGGAGAACCGGACCGGGCAGCAAACAGATGGCGCCACAGGCTCCAAGGACGGCAGCGGCTCCAGCGAAGACGAGCTGGAGCGAGATCTGGACGCGCTGCAACAGCAGCGTCAGCAGAAGGCGGAGGAGCAACAGCCGTCGCTCATCGAGGACCTGGAAAAGGTCAGCAAGCTGCAGACAAGGACTAAATGTAAGACTGCCTACGACGGAATCGCGGACGGGTTCCCAGCTCAACTACAGCCGGCAGCGTGGACTCTCACGGCCCTACCCGTCACACAAGTAAGCGTGGAGCGGCTGTTCTCCGCCCTGAAATATATCGTGAGTGACGCCCGATCGTCTAGGAAGCCCGATCTGGTCGAGGCCGTACTCCTGCTGCGCACGAACTGGTAGATGTCTCGTCTCCGAGTCTGCGTGCTGTACAAGTGCACTGTACTGTACACGGTAGGTACGTTCGCCAAACATTTGTTTCTGCTTGCGCAATAAAGGCAAACAGGCATGATGCATCTTTGATATATGGGAAATAGGTACTGAAGGTCGGAGTCGGAGCTGGAGTCGGAGTCGGAGTCGGAGTCGATTTTTTCAGGCCGGAGTCGGAGTCGGAGTCGGAGTCGCTCAAATTCCGTCGACTCCGCAGCCCTGGTCCCGACGATGTGCTATGTAGCATGGTCCACCACCCCCGGCGACCATTGACGTCCTGCTGGGTGCGTGACCCAGCTCATGACGTGTCACAGAAGCACGCAGTCCCCGTGGGCCTACGTGACCCGCCTCGCTCACACATCGCGTCATACATACAGACATTCCATATACAGCGGCGATGTGCCTGTGTGGCCCACCCAGAGTCGGTGGTAACTGAACCTATAGGACACGGTGTCCCTGTGCCCCGTGTGAGGCCTGAGGTCAGTGGTAAGTGAAGATGTGTGACAGACACAGCGTCCCTCTGAACAGCTGTGTGACCCGACTCTGTTGCCTGTGTGACCTATCGTCCCAGTGACATGTGTGACCTGCCCCTGTGACCTGACCCGCCCCTGTGACCTGACTCGCCCCGCTCCCCCGGCAGGGCGCTGCGCCTGGGTCTGCTGAGTCAGGAGCAGCTGGATCTGTACGATCCGGCTCTCATGTTCACCATCCCTCGGCTGGCCATAGTCGCCGGGCTGGTCATCTACCCGGATGGACCGCTGCGGCTCGATCAGGATATCGCGGACATTTCGGAACTCTTCCGACCGTTCAAGGTAGGCGGACGCTGGGCAGACGGTCGCGAGGCGGGTGGTCGTGGGTCTGGTAGGGGTTGTTTCCTGGGCTGTGTTTCCGGGGTTTGGTGAGGGTGTTATGATTGGGGTAGGTTCCGGGTGGCATGGTTCCGCTTCTGAACTGGATCGGGGTACATGGCGCTTCCGGGAAAAGACAGGGCACAGGCGGACGCGGGGTCGCGCTACACACTTCCCTGAACGGTCGATATGTGGGCGACAAAAAACAAAAACAAAAAACGCACGGCACAGACACAACTCGTGATGCGGCGCCTGTAACATTGAGCGGTAGTTTCTCAGCGGGATCGGCGTGCTTCGTGTAGGGTTATGTGACGCTTAGAAAGCATCCAACTGTAAACATCACTTCTCGAGTATCGGTGACGATAGGGTTTCTTTGCTTATCGAGCCGTTGTCAAGTGCGATCGCAAATAGGCAAAGCTGAGTCATCCGACTCGATAGCACCCTTTGACGGCTCGACTTTATTTCGCGCGTGTCATGCATTCAGCGGAGCCCTTCTCAGCGCGATAGTGGAGCCACTCATGTCCGAGTCTCAGTGGTTTGTATGGCCCGTGGAGGTTTATCACGTACCATTCACGCCTCGCTCCGCTGCCGCTGTTGACGCTCGGACCTCTGAGGATAGGGGAGGGGAGGGGGACCTCGTCTGCTCGTGCGCGCCACGTGCCCCTGTGCGTCATGTGCGGCGCCCCAGAACGGACGGTGACCGACGGACGTCTGCTCAGCGTTACTAGATCGGGACCAAGGTCGGTGTGGCGCCGCCGCCGCCATACATTCGCCCCCTCCCCCCGTCTGGTACCCCCCCCCCCCTCCCGTCCGCTCCACTGACTGAGTGACCCGTAGTGTCCCACTCCCGGCTGTTCGCACCACACGCATTGTGAGCAGTAAACATGCGTGATGGCGCACACATGCTGCTCCGAATCGACCGATCGACCAGCCAGACAGTGTTTGTAATGGTAGCGCCGATGTCATGACACTGTTTGCTTGTCTGCTGCAGCTGCAGTGTTGGTTCTAGAATGATAAGGTTTGTTGTCATTTTAAGCTCTTGCGCAAGCTGTACGACCGCCTGCCTCAAGTGCAGCTCATTTTATCATCTCTCCGTTTCAGAATCTGCTGTGTAAGATCCGCGAGCTGCTATGGACGCTCAGTAAGGCCGAGCTCTACGCTCTGGAGAAGGCCCTCTGCTCGGTGGACGAACCCATCAACACGGTGGCCAGTGACGTGCCCTCGGCACCCGACGCCTACCCCATGCCCGACATCGACGCGTTCGTGGCCGAGTTCTACTCCAAGAACCCGGGCTGTCGGCGGAGTGTCAGCCGCTCAGCGTGTCGGGAGACGGAGGCGCGTCTGCGTCAGTTCCACCCGGGCAGCCGCTCGCACCGGCGCCGGCGCGGCCAGGGCGGCTCCGGCAGCGGCTCGAACGGCCACCGCCGGCTGGCGAGGAGCGGGGCCACTGCTGAGGAGGCGGCGGCCACCGGCGCCCCGGCAGACCAGCGCCGCGGGTCAGCCACGGAGCCGGCCGCCAGGGGCCGCGTCGGAAGGGTGCCCATCATCGCCTGCGACTACGGCAGCCGGTAGGTGGTGCTGTGGGGCGCTGGATGGTGTGGGCGAGTCGGGCATTGTGGTAGGAACAGTTTGAGTCGTGTTGAGGTTATTATTCTCTTTACTCTGTAGATTTGGTAATTTGTATGCGCCTGGTATACATTTAATTCACCACGGCACTGGGTTACGGAGTGTGACAGCCGTTAAGTACTGAGCAGTACCGTCCACCACTCTGCACTGATGTCTTTCCCCACTCCTCGCCCGCAGCCTGGACCAGCGCCGGGACGTGGAGCGTCAGGTGGCCTCCATCGTGGACGACCTGGTGGGCCTGGCCGTCTCAGAGGCGGAGCGGCGCGCTCAGTCTGCCGAGGAACCCGAGCCGCCCGCCGCCCCCGCCCCCGCCCCCGCCCCCGGGCACAGCGGCACCGGCAGACACCGCAAGAAGAAGCTAACCCGCGCTCCGTGCGGCAGCGCCGGAGGCCTGCTCTACCAGCACAACCACTGGTGGGTGTCGGCGGCTGCAGGTCTGGGGTGGGACTGTGTGCTAACGTGTCGATAGGTAGTGAGCTTGAGGCAAATTGGTGTGGTTATATCTTTTGTTTCTTTCCTGATTTATTGTTAGTGTGCTGGTGAGTATCACTCTGCAGTCTAAACTCTACATACGTAGCCTGCAATAATGTTCGTTCCATCTAGTGAATTTGGACTCACTTTCATGTTGTATTTTTTACGGTTGATAGAAATGCGTGGTGTTATGTAAAGTTATGTAAGAGAGGGCCAAACCCTGCCCATGACGCACTAGCGATGCTACCAGTGTCGCAGAAGCATCTGATTTTCTCCTCCCGCTGTCGTCTGACGGACCCTCCCCGCCTTCCGTCCGTCAGCTCGCCGGGCGGCGCTCCGGCCGAGGGCAGCAGCCACCAGTCGTCCCAGTCCGGCTCCGACTCTAGTGACGACGAGCGGCCCACGCGCAGCGGAGACCGAGAGATCGCGCTGGCCATCCAGGCGGCCGAGATCGCCACGCGCAGCCGGTCCCGCGCGCGCTTCAAGTCAGTACATAGGAGCGGGTGGCAGCGTGAGGGGACGGTGGGACAGTGGTCTGCTGGCTGGTCAGTAATTGGAAACTCGAGTAAAAAGACTGAATTTTCGTTCGTTTAGCATGGATGAGCAATAGGGTGTGTCACTAGAAACAGATCAAGCGCTTCCGCTGATTTTCCTTGTCCCTGTGTCTATGGAAGCCCATTGGTGCAGTTCTTTTTCCCATGCATCGAAAATTCGATCGGCGCCGGCTGAAAGAAGTTCGGGATTTATCGTGGCGCCCGGCGTTGCAGTCTCCATGTTTGGCGTAATGCCTTTGATGACACTAACACCAGCCGCGCGCGTCTTCGCCTGTTAACGTCGACAGACGCTGTCAATACGGATGTAAGCAATGCAAACGAGGCAGTATCCTCTATTGAGACAACGGTTACACAGAAAAGATGCATCTTTGCCATTCAATAGCAAACTGAATTCAACTCAATTAGCATTTGCCTTACCTTGCATTGTGTTCAGGGAACCGATTTTCTTGCAGGCCTCCTTTGCGGAGATGTTGCCCGCCCGCACGGCTCTGGTGAGCTGATACAGCAGGAGTTGGTCGCTGCTGAGGTCCGCGATGATGTTGTCCGGCAGATCCAGCTCTGGGCCGCTCACCGGTCGGAACTTCACGGGAGAAAGACGGTGCACGGAGGCGCCGGCTGCCTGGCCCAACGGCCCCGTGAATGATCCGGGTCCACTGGTTTTGCCGTCCAAGTTCTGGAAAACTTCCCTCAGTACAAGCTCATTCGAGTGCAGCTGGCAGCTTGTCTCATCCGGCATCTTTCTCTCCATACTTTTTTCGGGTCGACCAGCAATTCTGTTTTGCCGCTCGCTACGCGACCGACATCCGTCTAAAAACCATTGATGACGGCCGCTACAGCACGGTTGGATAAACCATACCTTGTCGGTCAGCTGCCAGTGCAGTGTTTGTCATATCATCATCGTTTGAGTCTTTGATGCATTCCTTCATCTCAAATTCACTTGTGACGTCTTCATTACTGTCGTTGGTGTCGGTCGTTGCCGACGAGTCTACCTGGCCTGTCTCGTCGATATTGACGCCGTTGGAATAGGTACGGAGGTGGGAAGGACCAGCTTGACCCACGTCGCCCCTCCCCTCGTTCCGCTCCCGTCTCAAGGCTCGCAGTCTTACGTCGTTTCCTCGTCTCCTCGTAGTCCACACCAACCAGTCTCATCTTCCAAACTCCTCTCTGGTCTCGAAGGAATGCTATTTCCGCTGGCGGTACCCAGTTTGAAAGCGGACAGGTACAGCTTCGCCGATCTTTACAGCGGCAGCGGGCGATGTCAAAAAGCTTACGAAACAGACTCGCTTCAGGAACACTTTGTTTCGTTTGTCCCTCCCACATTCTTTCGGACACCTTGTTCGATCGGCGAAATCTTTCGTAGACTTGCTTTACCTTCCGAACCACATTGTGCATTTGTATCGTTGGTATGCCCTCACTCGACCACATTGCAACCACCGCCTCCGCTGCTTCACGTAAACATGCAGTGACTGTCCGCTCACTTTTTCTATCCTCTGCCAAGAGTCTCACATAGTTCACTACATCTCTGTTGGTAGGCAGCTGATTTACCCGCAGCACACTAGGAGACCCGATAACAAAATGTTTCGGCTTGCTTCACCACGGCATCACTGCGGCACGAATAGTCCGATTCGATTGCACCACACGCACTTCTGCTCACGCCGCAGCTGAAACCAGACTGACTCACGTTCTTTGCAAGCTCGTGTGTCTCTGGGAGACAGCACATGACTCGAAAGCCGACACATTGTGTTGCCGACGGAGGGGTGATACCCGAGACCCCGCTCATGTTTCCCTCTGTCCATCCGTGCTCTCATTCTCCCTGCCCCACTCGTGATAGTCTTGCCAAGGCTGCAGCGTGATCCTATTACATACAGTAGCGGCGGAACACCTTCAATTAAGGGGGGGGGGGGCACTGCCGACTTCTGGTCCCATTCTTTCCATGCAACGCCCATAGGGCTAATGTTAAAATACCAAAATCAAAGGGGGGCACGGTGCCCCGGTGCCCTCCCCGTTCCGTTCCGCCGCCTAAGTCCTATTATATGGATCATCTGTGAGTCCCTGAATGGCCTCAACACATTAAAATGATAGTATGTTTCGTCCGACGTCCATTTAAACAAGAAATAGCAATCGAATTTTAACCGTCAAACGGCGTTGGCCGCTACAGGCCGACGGCGAGTCATATGGCTGGTGTTAGCGCTACGGTACGCATTGTGTTCAGTATGGAGACTTCAACGCCGGGCGCCACGAGAAATGTCGAAATTGATTGGGCCCGCGCCGCCTGAATTTTCGGTGCAGCGAAAAAAGAACAGTGCCAATGGGCTTCAATGAACCCAGAGACAAGGAATATCCGCGGAAGCGCTTGATCTGAGACAAAAATATTTGATATGACACACCCTAATGAGCAATGTAGAATTTAGAATATAATACTCCTTGTTCATCAGATTCAGTAATTATGCTCACAGTATCATTAGCTGTGAAGTGGCCCATTCGATTCAGCTGATGTGATGCTGACCACGAGCCTACGCTGTTGGCCGGATGTGTGTACCATTACAGTCGTGTTGTGTCTTCAGGGACAGCCAGGACCTGATTCACCGTCTGTTTGTCTGCATTTCGGGAGTGGCCGACCAGCTTCAGACCAACTTCGCCTCAGACCTGCGCAACATCCTCAAGGTGGTCTTCCAGATCAACGCCACGCCCGAGGAGGATTCCAGCGGAGGTGAGATAATTCTGTCCCTGGAATGTTACGTGCCTGACTGCGTCAAAAGCAACATCTCAATTTGTTGAGCTACCTCAAGAGCGTGTAACTCAAGTGTAAAATCCACATGGGAACGACGTGGACGGGTCTTTGTCAACGCTAGCATGTCCAAGTTTGTGATCTGTTCTGTAGCTTGATGGAGCGTCCAGTCTCCAGCAGAGTCTGATCTGACCCGTTTTCTCCGTGCTGTCCGGCACGGCCCAAGTCTGACTCTGTCCCCTCCGATCTCAGTGTTTGACCCCGTCCCCTCAGCGTGTGCTGTCTGACACGGCCTTTGTCTGACCCGTCCCCCTCGCGGTACCCCCAGTACTTGAGTTCGTACTGTCTGGCACAGCCCATGTCTGACCCGCCCTCTCCGTTCCCCAGAGCTGAGCCCGTCGTGCGGCTCTGTCGACTCTGCCGAGGAGGCGCTGGGCTCTCCGGCGGCCGTCATCGACGTGGTGGATGTAGGCGGGCCCGCCCCCGCCCCCGCGCCGGCCCTGCTCAGCCAGGTCTCGGAGGAGTCCCACCTGGCCAGCAACATGCGCGTGGTGGGCGACCACATGGAGGCCCAGGTGCTGGTGCACGGCAGCATCGGCATCAGCGGCGAGGCCGGCCTGGTGCAGCAGGTGCTGGCAGAGGGCGGCCCGGCCCGGCCGCTGCCGCCGCCGCCGGCGCCTCCGGCCGTCACCGTGCCGGCGCGGCTGACGGAGGCGCTCGAGCCGCGCCAGCCGCCGCCGCCGCCGCCGCTGGAGGTGACGCCGCGCCGCTCGGCGCCGCTCTGGGTGCCCGACCAGGCGGCGCCAGAGTGCATGCAGTGCGGCCAGCCGTTCACGATGGTGCGCCGCCGCCACCATTGCCGCCGCTGCGGCCGCGTGTTCTGCTCGCGCTGCAGCTCGGGCGTGCTGCCGCTGCCCCAGTTCGGACACCAGCTGCCCGTGCGCGTGTGTGACGAGTGCCTGGCCGCGGAGACGCAGAGCTGAGAGGGACGGGCGCCCGGCCGGAGCCACAGTGGTAATACTCGAGAGAAGCGCAGAGCGCGGCGGGCCGGACGGCGCCGCGCGAACATGTTATTTTCGTACACGTGACTGAGCTGTTGAGAGCGTTCACAGGTTTATAGGTAGTTTATGAACAGTTATCGAGGTGTGCGTGCGTGTGAGAGAGCTAGGCGCCGTGTTTGTTTTGACCAAGAGGCGCTCGATGCGAATGGTTATCGTGTATGTCGTTTACTCGCTGGAGATATTGGCCGGTTGGTTCAGTGCCGTTAGTATGCTGGTAACCGCTGTGGGCCGGGACGCCTCTGATTTAGCCTTATTTGGGTATATCGTCGCTGTATTCCGGACGGAACGACCGTCCGCTGATGCCGAGGTCACAATGCGTGTCACGAGACAGGGGATTGCTCAAAGGGGGTGGGGTCCACTGCTGTGTGCGGGGCGGCGGTCCGTGCGCCGCGCGCCAGGTCAGGTCACCTGTGTGTGCAGAGCGCCGGCCGCCGCCGCACCAGACGGTGAGCGACGCCGTGACCTGACGGGGAGCGACGCCGTGACCTGGCGGCCTTTTACTTAACCCGGCCGTCCGTCCGTGCCGGGCCGTTTTACTTTTGGACGCAACACTGTGATACCGTCTGTCTGTCTGTCTGTCCGTCGGGCTTGAGAGGCGGGCGAATGGACCCGGCCGGCCGCCGCCGCGTTTTTTAACGGAAAGGTACTACAATACACGTAACACTCGGCAATCACCAACTGTCTGCCTACAGCTGAAAGCTAGTGAGGATGCACAGTTAAAATGAGGCGTAAAAACGCCTCAGATACATCTTGACCTGGGACGGAGGTACTGGGTTCGCCCTTCCAGGATAACCGCCCGATACCGATTACCGATGGTGGCTTCATTTATAATGGCGCTTCCATCAAACACCTCGAGCAGTCGCTAAGATAGCTGTTCTAATACGTTTCAAACCAAATGAAGGTCACATATCCGATCTCATTACACGCTGCTTTCACAAGAAGAGTAGTCACGAGGAGAGTTGAATGAGAGCTCTCCTCGTGTCTCGGATGTACAGCGAGAGCTTCCGGGCTTATGACTAGCCACCAGGCATCACGACTCTATTGAGAAAGTAACATGGGCGAGGCTAAAACAGCTTGTTTTCATGTTATATTTTCGCCACACGCATCGGTTATTCCCTCCAGGGAACATGTTTAAGAATTAAGCAAAACAGGCTGGAACAGTAATGGAACAGATCGGTTTCGCTGGCAGTGTAAATTGTTAACACTTCATTACGTAAAAAAGCGCTAAATGTAAATGCAGCACATTGTCAGTGAGTGAGAGCACTTCTTCAGCAAATCTTCCCGATGAAAACCCGCAGAAGGCTGACCAAAAACTTTCCGTCCAGCATTGACCCTGTCCTCATCTCAAAGTTCTAGCACCCGCTTTCCTTCCATAAAAGCGCATAAATCATTGGCCAAATGCCGGACCAACGTTTACCGTTTCTGCCAATCTCTCTGCAATCCATGCGGGCACACTTCTCTGCCCGGGCCGCCCTTCTCTGCCTGCCGGAGCCTCCCTCGAGAGCCCCCTCCCTACGCCTGGTTCCTGGCTGCGTGGTGAGTGTTGATCTGACTGACCCCCCGCCGCCAGCCCGCACCGCCGCTCCTCCTCAGGTGCGCGTTGGCCCGTGCCCTGAGTCGGCCCGACCTGCCACGGCGCGCGGAGGGACGGCGCTTCCGGCGGGACTGCGGGTCCGCGCCGTCCTGGAATTCGTACTCGGTGTAGTCGTCGCTGCCCGTGTAGTCTCCGTAGTAGTCTCCGTAGTCCTCGGTGGTGGCTTGGAACCCGTCCTCGTCGTACTCGTAGGTCTGGAAGCCGGGCGCCACGGTCTGGCCGGGAGCTGCCAGCTCTACCGAGTCTGCCAGGAGGGGTGGGGTGAGGGTCAAAACGACAGGGAGGGACAGCGTCGGGGTCGCGTAAAACACGGACCGAACCGACAGGGGCAGACAGACATACATACAGGGAAGGAGAATATCGGAGGGGCAATACAAGCCACATTGCAGCCGTACTGCGGCGTTCAGCGGTACAAGAACACGACGCATCCTGGGGGTAGACTGAAATCATCATCACGGAGCACAGTGAGCTGACGTAGATGCAAAATACGACACAATCATGCAATTCATTTCCACAGCGAAATACAAACCTACTCAATGACAAGAAATGTTAATAGCAACATATTTGAAAACTATTACTTTTGTATTCTTCCCAACAGCAGAATCGACCATTTCCCCAGTCCCTAGGATAGATAACGTTTGACTCACCTCTGAGTTCGTTCACCTTCTCTTCGAGCAGTTGCACCATAGCCTCGAGGCCAGCCATCCTCTCGGCTAGTTCGCTCGACGGCGGGCCGCCCGCACCTGCCGCTGCTGCAGCCAAAAACAGAACGTGTTATGGGCTTACTTACTGAACAGTGACAGCCTCTACAGCAGGCAGACCGATTCCCACAAAGTTTTTTTTTCTAGGAACACTCCAAGACAAACGTTCAGTTCTGGTCTGATCAAAAGCGCCACAGCTGAAGGGCCATAATAGACGTTCCTTGAGTTTTTTTTTTTTTTGCTTGAAGAATCGCGTCCTTCCCACAACGTTATCACTCACACACGTATGTAGCCGCGGTAGAACGACCAATCAAACGTATTTCATTTTTCCGACTGGTGACGGCATCAGATCGCGCTAGTTACGTGCTACATGACCTGCTGACTCTACAGGCATACCCACCCTGATTGGGCGGTCGGTTGGTCCCTCCAGTTGACACCTAGTTTTGTCTGCTTTTGTCGCATCGGCATCTGTCCCCGTCTACATTTCCCTCCCTTTGGCAACCAACCTCCCGCGTGAGCGCTCGAGACGGTGGTACTTGGTCTTGTTCCTAAAGCTTAGCATCCCTCGTTGTAGCATATCTTTCTGGCTCCCTTCAGCACCTAATCTGTACCCACCACCCTCCTCTCAGCACCCACCTCCGTCCCTTCAGCACCCCTGCCCCCCCCCCCCCAATCGGCACCCACCTCCGTCGCCGCCGGGCGCACCGGGCAGTCCGGGCGGTCCGGGCTCGCCCGGGTCTCCCTTGGGTCCGGACAGACCCGACAGACCGGGGTCTCCGGGCGGGCCCCGCAGACCCTGCAGACCCATCTCGCCCTTCTGGCCGACGGGTCCGGGCAGACCTGGCTGGCCTGCCTCGCCCTTCACGCCGGGCAGACCCGCCAGGCCCGGCTCTCCTGAGAACGGGGAACTCCGGTCAGTTATCTCAGTCCCGGTCTGATGAGAGACAAAGTTAGTCAGAACGGGACTGGAACCTCAGCATAAGGTCGCATAAAGCAACAGTGGATGCTGACGAGAAAGCCGAGTATCAAATAATTCGCTTCATTGATCTAAAAAAAAAAAAAAAACGTTATGCTAGACAATGCAATTCGTAGTAGAGTTAAAACGGCAATGGTGAAGAAATAACTGCAAACGAAAGCAGTACTAAGATGACTAAAGGCATAACAACAAAATACTAAATAAAAAACGCACAAACACAAAAACAAATGACCACGATGCAAGCAATGCCAACATCAGAGACGAAGAGACGCAGTCCTTCCACTCGTTTGAGATCGTTTGTTTTTTTTTTTTTGGGGGGGGGGGCGCGGGGCATACTCTTTTGATCTAATGGGACCATTTCAGAGCCGGAAGGATAATAGGAAGTGTGGGGGGGGGGCATTGGTCTGGGCGGGCACCCTGGTGGCCCGTCGGGGCTGAGCCCATCCAATGGACAGGCAACCCAGCCCTCTAACAGTCACTGCACCCGGCAACGGGCCTGCTCCTGATGTGGAGCCTCCCGCATGGGATAAATTTGCCTGTCCAGACTGGAACAGGGGGTGGAGGCGTGGAGAAGAAGGATTTGAATGCCCTAAGGATGAAAACGACGGAACGGAGAGTTTGAGATTGTGTCTAGGAATGAGGCTCGTTCCCTGCCGCCCTAACCCAGCGGAGGTCGGTACGTACCCCTAATGCCGGGCTGGCCGGGCGGTCCGGCCGGCCCGGGCCGACCCATCGGGCCCGGCAGTCCCGGCGAGCCCGGCACCGAGTATTCGGGGACGGGACGGTCCAGCGCCGGGCCGCCCATATCACCGCGCGGCTGGCCGCCCGATCGGCCACCTGTAACATAATGTGTAGTAAGTAGTTACCTCCACCAAACATCCATATCGCCGCGCGGCTGGCCGCCCGATCGGCCACCTGTAACAGAATGTGGATGGTTACCTCCAATATGCAGTTTACATCCATATCACCGCGCGGCTGGCCGACCGACCGGCCACCTACACCAGAATACATGAGTGCACAGTCAGAGATACTGAGGCAAATCATGTGCCTGCTAGGTTGGCCGCCAGACCTACCACCTATAACAGAATGTTCACGGTTAGATGTATGTAATAGCATGGTCAGAGATCCGCGTGTCAGGATGGTCAAAAGGGATGATGCAAAAGGACCGATCAAACGAGGAGCACGGGAACAGTGGGCGGCAACGGTTGACCTAATTATTCGACATCAAACAATGAGCAATGCTGACATCCCATTTTATACGAAAACCTAACCCTGAAACTTCGACAGATGGCGGGCAAAGACCTGTCTCACCTGACGCTCCTGGCAGTCCGGGGGCTCCGGGGGGTCCCTCGGGTCCGACGGGCCCACTGAGGCCCGGAAAACCGTCCCTGCCGGGCTCTCCGGCGGGGCCCTCGGGTCCCGGCGGGCCCGGCAGACCGGTGGCGCCGTCCCGTCCCGGAGGGCCGGGCGGGCCCGGCGGACCGAAGGGTCCCGGTGGACAGGAGCACTCCCGTCCTCCCGGCGGCGACACGGGGCCTGTCGGGGAGACGGGAGCCGGCGGCCGCGGCTCCTCGAACGGCGGAGAGTCGCCGGCGGGGGCGTCCAGACCGGTGAATGGCGGAGACGCTGAAACAGAGGGGAGAGAGATCAGTTGGCCAATTGAGCAGCTTGTCCAGTTAATGGCTCAGATCTTACCAAAAATTATGTCGCTATGTCGCTCACACTGAGCTCATCAGCCCTTATGCCCCTTCGTTCACACTAAGTTCATCAGCCCTATGTATATCACTTCATTTATTGGACAGTCAACACACTAAAGGGCAATTAGTTTGACCAGTGTTGGTATAACGGTAAACTAATATATAATGAGGCATTAATGACACCGTGATTGGCAATGACTCATACTAATCAATCACCACCAAAACCTGTCCTTCCCCCTCAGCACTTAGTTTATCTCGGAGCTAATTAAACTAACGATGGCCCGCAAACACTCTAAAGCTTGTCTCTCATGAGCTCATTTATATCAACAGTGACACTTTGTTTACTGTCACTAAATATCAGACTCAGAAGAAAACAAATGCAACATAACATTCAGCTCCACTTGCATCAGTAGTTATAACCAAAGGCTACCACCCAGGGGCCGACAGCCTTTACCCCAGCTACCTCCAGCGCCCTGACCGCCTGTTTCGCCCGTTGTGGCGACCCTCTGAACTAACCTGGCGAGTCGGGTCGCGCCGACTGAGGCCGCTCCCCGGTCCTGATGCCGACAAACTGCTCCAGGGTCGTCAGTCGGCTCACCAGGTCACTGAAGTCGGTGCAGTTGAAACAGGCTGCGGACGGAGGTGACAATTAATTAGTTGTAATTTGTAGCAGAACACATGACAGACGTTATTCAAGAGAATGGTC